ATGACCCACCCGCCAATCTCCAACCAATTTAAAATTTTCAAAAATCTTCCCGATGATCTCCATATTATGGCAACTTAATTGGAACTTTCTAACTAGTGTAAATTTGTATTTTCTTGCATGAGTTGAAATTTCAGCGTCATAAAAGAAAATTGCTGGTTTGTTCGCCTTTTTCTTTACTTTTTTTATGAGATTGCAATCGTCATTTCCTGCAACAAAATCATGGTAAATCTGCAGGAATACCGCACTATCTGCAAGGTGAAAATGAGAGCTGCGTGTGTGAACTACTGTAGCATAGGAGGGTTTGACGTGTGTGACCCACCTGCCAATCTCCAACCAATTTGAAATTTTCAAAAATCTTCCCGATGATCTCCATATTATGGCAACCTAATTGGAACTTTCCAACTAGTGTAAATTTGTATTTTCTTGCATGAGTTGAAATTTCAGCGTCATAAAAGAAAATTGCTGGTTTGCTCGTCTTTTTCTTTACTTTTTTTATGAGATTGCAATCCTCATTTCCTGCAACAAAATCATGGTAAATCTGCAGGAATACCGCACTATCTGCAAGGTGAAAATGGGAGCTGCGTGTGTGACCTACTGTAGCATAGGAGGGTTTGGCGGGGTTATCATCGGCGAGGGCCGCGGCGTAGGAAAGCCTTGAGGCCATTACCGCAGTCAGTGCCAACCTGCAACACAGTGAGAAGCTCACGAGTGTTGAATGGCTCTGTCGCAGACGACAGAGGCAGAGGCAGAGCCGAGCAGATATGTATATGTATATAGATATGTATATGTTTATATATATATATATATATGTCTATATATCTGTATATATATTATGAAAAAGTTCAATGACTGATATATTGAAGATAAAAATACAGATAAGTTTGTATGGGTGGGCCTAAACACCTAACCCACACGGCACAACACAAAAAAAAAATGTAAAAGATGAGTATATATAGAAATAAAAAGAAACCCAAAAATCACTCGAGCGTTAAAAAAGTGTGGGTCATCCCAATCTAGTCTTGCCTCTGGCTTTAGGTCTCGGTAGTGATCCAGCTAGCAGATTCGTAAGGTGCTTACCATCACCCGTAGTAACCAAAGTATCATCCATAAGACTTCTGAGCTCTAGTAGATATCTATTGTTCTTCTTCCTCTTGGAAGTGTAAACCTGTCATTCCTCCTCCGAAGAATCTGCCTGATGGGGTAGAGTTGAACCAAAAGGAACAGTAGTACCCACAATAGGTTCTACAATATGAGAAGTGTGAGTTGCCGCTACACCGGTTACTTCTTGAATAAGTGGAGCTGCGAGGTTCTCCTGATTATCAGTATGAACACTATCATTTATAGGCAATAGTCCATCGGAATTGTTTTGTATGGAGTTTGTAGGTGCCAGCATCGCATCACTCGCAGTAACAGTAACAACAGTGTCATGGGGGGGTCTTCAGGTGCAACAAACACCTCATGTCTGGTAGTATCATCCTTAGGTGGAACTAAAATGTCCACAGCAGTGAGGTTAAACTCATCCTTATTCACTTGACCATTAGATTTCAAATTAGGATGAAATTTGTGACATTTAGCAAGGATATGACCAAACATCTTACAGTTGGTACAATATGAAGGTTTGTGTTCCATAACGATTTGTTGTTAATATCCATTATGAGTTGTGCCCAGTCAGACTTCAGTAACATCAGGTAAAGTAATATCCCTTTCCACAAATATTCTAACCACAAAAGGTCTTGTTAGATTGAAAGTGGGTAGATCTAGCTTCATAGGGTCCCCAAGGATGACCCCAATAGAGTAGAGAACCTGATGATGAAAAAAGTGCAGCTTGAGACCAGGTAGACTAAA